GCGTCGGAAAGCCTTACTATCGCCGGACTTTCCCAACGAAGAGATCATTGCCGAGTTCCTCAGCGAACCTGACACCATTCCCAATCTTAATCTCAACTGGCGGCAGCCGAATCTGGTCAAATTCATCAAACAAGTTGGACACCTCTTGCAGTGGCCAGAAATATACTGCTTCCAAAAATTCTTTCCCATACTCACGCGCTGGCAGGTCCAGCAATCGAAGCAAGAGAAGGTACTTATCCAGCCAGTCGAGATTATCAAAAAGCGAACTGTGAAAGGAGTGCCCAGCCTGGAATTGCGTTGGCACGATCCCAGCGGCATCTTAAAGGGTCTTATTCCGGACAAACAGATTGCGGAGTACGAAGCGGAGCATCCCAAGGGAATCGAGGAACTTTACTGCACCATTGAGCCATTGGACATGCTGCAGGCAGCGTATCCCGATTTAGTAGCAGTCTTCTTGAAGTCCAAGGAGAAGCCCGCCAAGAAAACCGCGCGAAAGAAGAAAACTGCTCCTGAAGAGCAGGACAAGGAAAACGAACCGAGTTCGAAACCAAAACGGGTGGTCAGAAAGAAGAAGGCTCAGCTTGAAGGGAACCAGCCATTACTCCAACAATTCCTAAGGCCCAAGAAGGAATGTACTCCTGTCAAGGCTACCGCTCCACAACGCCAGCACTGCTCCACTCCCATTACCAAGTTCCTGCCCTCCGATCTAGAGAGCGACTGCGATGCTGAAGAGTTCGACATGTCGGACATAGTCAAGGGCATCATATCGAATCCGAATGCCAAGCCAGCACTGAGCAAACACGATGGCCACCAGCTTCATTACGAGCCCATGGCTGAGGATTTGAGTTTACGTCTGGCGCAGATGAGTCTGGAAATTGCGGACGAAGCGCCCAAAGTGGAAACAAAAAGAGACCTCTCCCAAGCCGATCAACTACCGCAGAGTAAACGCTTCTCGCTGGACGACAGCTTTGATCGGTTGGTCAAGGGAGATCTGCAGAAGCTGGCCAGGACGCCAGTGGAACGATTCAAGATGAAGCATCGTATCAGCGAGCAGATTCCAACGCCAGTAAAGCCCTTGGCCAACATAAGTTACTTCTTCAATCAAAGCAGCGATAACGCGGATGTCTTCGAAGAGTTGATGAACTCGAGCCTGGGGCTCGATCAAGATCAAGAGGATAATGCCGAAGAGGAGGATGAGGACCTGGTGGTGATTAGTGATTAAACATTCTGAAACTACTTAAAACTCCGCCGTTTATTATCACTCCTCACATGGGAAATTATTCAAAGGGCAAGCTTAGCTAGCACATTTTGGAGGGTAATCCCAACTAATACCTATAGATAAAGCTTGGCGTATGCATGTGCCTTGGACATTGCCTGCTCCAACTGTTCCTCGAACAGATTGCTGACCCGCCGACCCTTCATGTTGCACACGGCCTGCGGATTCTGACCCTTGGGCGCGGCTATCTGTCCATTAAATGTGTCAGCAAAGGACTGCAGCCAAGCGGAAGCGTTGAATTTCTCCGTGATACGGTGTACTGGTACACAACAGCGCGCCTTGACCACGCTATCACACACGCTGATAACAAGGACGGGCCGATCCTGGCACAGCTTGGTGGCTCGCTGCAAGGGAATCTCCTCCACGAGAGCGGAGCTGGTGATGTAGTGCAGAATGAAGGGGTGCGTATCCAGGGGCTTCTCCTGCAGCAGCGTGCGCATCTCCACATCCACAAATTCTCTGCAAATACGGAGTTCAGAAGTTGAGTATTCAACTATGGTACGTTCAACTTACTTGAGGGTTGTGCGCGAGGATTCTTTGATCCGCTTCAGCATCTCGGTGATGCGTTCCAGCGTGTCCATCTTAAAGGCGTAGGGCAGCTTAATGTCCGTGTGCAACATGTTGTGCCGAATGGTCTGCAGTTCCGCCTCCGTAGCGTTTGTGAGTTTATCGGTTCGGAACTGCTTCTCGAGGAGATCAACGCGGTGTCGCAGCAGGGCAGCCGTTTTCAGCACCTATTTAAGGGATGAAGGGAGAGAATCAGGTCACTGGTCATAGTCGTAGATGTGTGCACCTACATTTTCAGCCGCCTGGCCAGCCACGGCGGTAAATGCGAATCTCGCCCGATTAGTCTGCTTCAGATTCACGATGCAGAAGCTGGAGAGCTCGCTGGTGTTGGTTGCATGAGTTCCGCAGCACAGTTCCTTGGAGCTGAGCTGCAGTTCAGGACTCTCCACGTTGACTAGACGCAATCCCTGCTCCGGATAAACCTCGCCGGGCACCATGGTGATGTCATTCTGCTGCAGAACTTCAGCTGCACTCAGCACCTGCACTTGAACCGGCGTAGCAGAGCAGATAACGCGACTATTGTAAAGGATTGTCAGTTGAATTCATGAAAATGTCTTATGGCAGGACGACCCACTTGATCAGATCCTCGATGAGCTGCACGTCGCTCTTTTGTATGCGCTTGCCCAGCAGTCCCAACTCCAGTTTGCACTGGCCGCTGGTCACAGAACTGGAGACCTGGTAGGTGACCTTCTTGAAGAGCGAGCGGATGGCGGCGTTTAGCAGATGGGTGGCTAGAATCACAAGGAATATTTGTAATCGAATTGTGCAGTCGAAGAACTTCAACCTATCCAACCCACCTGTGTGGTGGCACGTGTTGAGCTGCCTCTGCTGCGCATCCACCTGCAGCTCCACCTCATCTCCAATGGCAAGCTGAAAGGCATCTGTGGGACTGGATAACTTGCAGACGTGAACCACACAGTCGTTGAGATATTTCACACTGATTACATCTAGCAAATGAGGATGCGCTGGCTGTTGGTGACTCCGCACAAGGATCTTTCCGCCGTCCGATTGTTGACCTCCGGACTCGTAGTAGAAACTGCTGGCAGCAGTCACAATGGAAATGAAGTCGGTGGTGGGTTGCTGTATGCGACTGCCTTGGGTGCGTGACACTTCCGCATCGTTGAGGAGCATTCCCACAACTCGAGTCTTTAGTGGAGGTATCTGGTATGAGTTGCTCTCCTTGTCGAAGGAGTAGGCGTACTTGTGGCTGTTGTCGGTGGGCGCCAGCCGCTTTGTTAGCATCGCTTGGGCTTCAGCGATACGCTGCTCATTGGCCAGATCGCAGAGCGATCCTCCAGGAATCTCCCTTTGACTGCTCTTGGCCTTGATCTTGGCCAGACTAACCTCTGCCCTGTAACGCTCTAAATCACAGCTCATGTTCTCCAATTCAGCCAGCTTAAGGAAGCTCTCCTCGGTGAGGCCATAGGTATCAGTCAGCTTGTAAAGGAATTCGCCTGGTATGGTGTTATTGGGAAACTTGCCGCGCTGCACCTGGAACTCTCGATAGGCGGGCACGAATCCCGGGCACTCCATCAGATCGATATCATCCAGATTGGGAAACTCCATTAGCACCTCCGCAAACGCTTTGGAAGAGCTCTCTCTAAGGTTCTTGTATACCTCCTGCTCGTGGCTGATCAAGTCGATAACAGCCTGCTGCTTAGCCGCCATCTCCGGATAGGCTTCGCCAAGGGTCTCCACCACAACGGGAACTAGCTGGGTCAGCAATTTGTCATGGCCAAACACGTGCTCCGAGATGTTGAGAGCTTTGCGCAGCACGCGTCGCAGTTTCTGGCTGAAATAGAAGTTGGATTACATAAGCCAAAAAGTGAGTATGAGCACAAGCTTACTTCTGATCTGGAAGCATTCCGTCGGCCAAGCAGGCGGTCACCATGCGAGCATGATCGGCTAGTATCCTGTAGCTGGTGTCCAGCAGTGCTGCACTTCCAGCATCCGGAAAGCTGCCACTGTAAGCCGGAGTCTTTGCCGCCTGCTGGATGCCATCAAATAGCGGGGTAAACAAGTCCGTATCGTAGTTGGAGGACTTGTTCTGAAGCACGGCCGTTAAACGCTCAAATCCCATGCCGGTGTCCACATGATGAGCGGGCAATCGGGAGATGGACCCATCGGCGTGCCTATAAATGCATAAAGAGCCTTAGGCTAGCAATACATTGCGTTCAAAGGCGAATCCCCACCGATTGTACTGTATGAAGACAAGATTCCACAGCTCTGTGAGATCGCAGCGACCTGCATTCACCAACTTGGCTCGTTGCTCCACGCTGCCCAAATCCGGGCGATGATCTATGTGGATTTCGGTGCAGGGACCACAGGGCCCTGTGGCGCCCATTTCCCAGAAGTTGTCTGCGCAGCCGAAGGGCAGAATTCGCGAGGCGGGGAAACTGCAAAGAAGGCGTACTTAGGAAACCGACTTTCAGTTATGTAACCAGTCTTACCCCAAGCTCCTCCAGATCTCAAAGCACTCCAGATCCGCCGGAATGCCCAGCACCTTGTCGCCAGCAAAGTAGGTGACGTACAGACGACCGGGATCAATGTTGTAGGGACCGCGGAGCAGCTCCAGGGCCATGGCACATGCCTCCCGCTGGAAAGCCCAAGGGCTCGTGATGAAATAGTGAGGGAGGGTAGGATGTACGAACCCACCTTGAAGTAATCCCCAAAGGACCAGTTGCCCAGCATCTCGAAGAAGGTGTGATGATAGCCATCCGTGCCCACCACGGAGAGATCATTGTGCTTACCCCCAACGCGGACGCACTTCTGGGTGTTGGCAACCCGCTTGTGGGGCGCTGCTGCTGTGCCCAGGAACACCGACTTGAACTGCAGCGAAGGCCATCGTTTAAGCTGGCGAACAAAGGCGTTTAATGGGCCTGTTACCTCACCTGATTCATGCCCGCGTTAACGAAGGCGACGGTGGGATCGCAAAAGGGCACCACTGGGCTGGAGCGCACGAACTTGTGGCCATGGTTGACGGTGAAGTGATCCAGAAAGGTCTTCCGAATCTCGCGTGCTGTCAGCACGCGCTGCAGCTGCTTGGCCGAGTTGTACATGCCGCGGTTCAATTAAAACCGCACCGGCAATTAAAAATGCTCGATATAAATCTGTGGCCGAACAGCTGATCGGCGTGCCATTCGCCACGCACCCCATGCTTTACAAAAATTCCAATCAGAGCTGCCATTCACGGCGCAGCGCGCGCACCAGCTGCAGCTGTTCTATTTTTTACAGGCGCAACACGTACATTTGGGCCAAAATCAAAATTACCAAATTGCCACTGAAACTAAAGCAGAGGGTGCGCTAAGTTCGCGGAAAAACCAAGCAAATTAGGCAGCTCATCTGATGTAACTGCGTTGGCAGTGTTTCAACTCAGGTAAGCGCGTGTGGCAACCGTTGAACTTTGACACGTACTATTCCTCCGCTTTCACTTTCGCTTTTCACTCGCAGTATAACCAAAAAAAAAGAAAAAAAAAAACGGCAGCAAACAACGCAGTTTCCAGCAGGGCACACTTTGGACCCGAGCAACAGCTCCAGCGATGGCCACGAAGAGACGACCGCTGCGACCAAATTTGGGCGGCACTGCGGGCAGTCCCACCTCCGGTTCCAACATGAACTTCAGGCCAGGAGGACCGGACATCACCAGGTCCGAGGCGCGCGGAACGAGACCCACGGCCGCACCCACCAGTATACGCGAGATCCTGGTGATGGGCGTCATCCATCTGTGCAAGAAGACTATATTCTTCAATACGGACCTGAAAGTGGCCTTGTATCTGGGCAGTCTGTTCGTGATCTCCGTAATTGGGGACTTTGTGCCCTTCCCAAAGACCTACTTCGCCAGATCGGACAACCTGTTCAACCAGTACTTTGTGAAGGTCGGCTGGGGCTGGACGCTGCTCTTCGTGGTGCCTTTTCTGGTGCTCTCGGCCTACACGATCACCTGTGGTGACCACAAACGGATGTTGCGCCACCATTTCCCGCGCATCGTCATCGCCACCTTCTTCTGGTTCTTCTGGACCAAGATGTTTAACGTCGTGGAGAACTCCTATGGACGCTGCACCACAAAAGGTGCGTATACATTCACATCACAATGTGTAATGGAATTAATATCAACTGGTGTATGTGTGGCCAGGCTATGCGAGCAAATCCAGCTGTCTGAAGGCGGGTCATCTGTGGAAGGGCTTCGACATATCCGGGCACGCCTTTATACTGATCCACTCCAGCCTGGTGCTGATCGAGGAGGCGCGTCCCATCATCCGCTGGGAGACCATCAAGGAGCACATCCGCAACGAGCGACACAATCGCAGCACAGCCGAGAACTCCGGCACGAATCCCCTGAGGACGCTGAACGAGGAGCAAATGCGCAGCCTGCAGTTCTTGTACAAACGCCTGACGCCCATCATCCGCACCCTGTTCATCGGCATGGCGGCCCTGCAGCTGCTGTGGGACATCATGTTGGTGGGCACCATGCTATACTACCACCGCATGATCGAGAAGGTGATTAGCGGCATTATTGCCATACTCACCTGGTACTTCACCTACCGCTTCTGGTATCCCACGCCCGGTCTGCTGCCGGAGGCGCCCGGCAGTGGTAGCTTCAGTTACCAACGCGAGATACCCACCTTCCCCTTCAAGCGTCCCTCGCATTTATCAGCGGGTGCCGCCGCCACAAGCGCGGGATCCAGTAGCTCGAGGACCAACCTGAATGGCAAGGCGGCAACGACGGGCGTGCCGAGGGATCAGCAGATGCCTACGTTCATGGGAATGCCGCTGTTCACCAGTCCAAAGGCGGCCAGTGCGGCCGCCAGTTTGCTGATCTCCGAGCAGCAGAAACGTGAGAGGGATCGCGAGCAGCAAACGCTGGAGAGCTGAGCCCTGGCCCCGCCACCAGATAGCTCCAGCCGCAACAGTTGCAGCAGCCATCAAGCATAGAAGGAATTGATAGTTAGGTGACGGATTGGAATTTATACCAAATTTTGTATATTCAGCAACGATGATATGAAACGAAACGATGATATTACTAAGCAAGCAGCCGAGGCTGGCACTGGATCGCGTTCTGCTCCTCATCCTCCTCCACCGCCGACTCTTACCATGACAACACCCCAGCATCCTTCATCAGCAGTGCGTAGCTTTAAGCGTTCTTATGTTCGTGTTTATATGTGCCCAACTTTAACAGTAAAAGGATTTGTTAACAAAGTCTGCTGTCCCGCTGCTCCGCTCACTTGTGCGCGAAGGCGGCGAACATGGCCATACCCAGGAAGCCGGCACCCGCTCCCAGCTTATAGTTGCCCGGCGTTCGCGTCCACATTTCGCGCAGGATGGCAAAGTTGCTCGGCTGCAGGCGGTGGAAGGACTCGCGCTGTCGGAAGCGCAGGAAGTAGGCCTCCACCTGCGGCAGCTTCCCGAAGGCCCACAGCTGATTCTCGAATCCCAGCTGATACAGTCGATGCAGCAGCAGTCCCAGCGAAATATCCGCCACGCTCAGCTCGTCGCCGGTCAGCCACTCGCTGCGCGGCGCCTGGGCGGACAGCTCCTGCTCCGCGTAGAGCAGAAAGTGCCGCACGGCGTCCAGGACCCTCTGGAAATCCTCGCGGGAAGAGGCCAGCTTGTGGCGGCGCAGCTGAATGTCCAGCTTGTGCTGCAGTGCTGCTTTGTTGGTCGCCTGATCGTCCACCGAGTGGCGCAGCAGCTCCAGCACCTTTTCATTGTTCTCTGCGGGGAGCAAGAGTGCCGGGCTTAGTGGAGATTTCGCATCGAAGGGGCGTAACTTACTCAGGCAGGACTGGCGCACGGGTCCAATGAAGGGCGCCTTGGGCACCAGCTTCAGATCGTCGTGTATGAAGGAACCCAAGCTGAGTGTTCCCACCGGAAGGCGGGCCATTGCCTGCTCGAAGAGCAGCATCTGGTCGAACGCCTTGGTGTTGTGCGGTGGCTTCAGCGCTCGATCTGCACGATCAAGACTCAGGATTAGCTCAGGATAGTTACTGTGGGTTAATTAGCTGGGAATTACCGCCGCGGAATTTGCTCTCCACGTAGTTGATGATGTGCGTCGAACTGGGAATGACGAGGGCGCCGTCCTGGAGCACTGGCACGTCGCCCTTGGGATTGAGGTTTAGGAACCAGTTGGAGTACTGCTCGCCATTGCACAGGTCCACCACATAGGGAAAGAAGTCGATCTTCTTCTCGTAGAAAACCATGAGAACCTGCGATGATAGGCGGATTCAGTTTTACTGACTCTCGAGCACATATACTAGGTGATTCAGATTAGCTTCGTTTGTTTCAAGCATCTGGCAGCAGGAACTAACAATAATTAATAATTATTTCGGTTCAGCTATTATATGGCTTTCTGTTCGAGTAGATCGCTACACACATAGGTTTGTTTAGTTTCGCAGTGGCAGCATTTTTGTTTTTCCACTCAACCCGCTTCATTAGCACCTGCAGCAGCCAGGTAAACAGCGCTTAGTACGCTCCTATGCTGTCATAGCTGTCCAGAATGGAAAGCTAGATAGCTCGAGCAGCTCTACTGGAGAATCTACTACCTTTCCGACTCGCCACCGGCCAGGTCATGCTCCATTGCATCCGAGTGGCCGAGAGATTTAATGAAGATCGTGGGTGGAGCAGCTACCACGCGGGGCAGCCCATCATTACATCGAAAACAAAAAAAAAGTAACTAAAACGATGATTTCATTTGGCAATGATTCGTTTTGTAATTTCGCGGCTTCAGCTGCTGGGATCTGTTGGGCAAATAGTTTTTCGAAGATCACATGATGGGGCTACTAACTTTTTGCGCATGGAAGTTGTACGGATGAAAGAAGAGCACTGGCTTGTTGGCCGGCAGATCGGGAGCCTTGAAGTCCTGCAGGCTGGGCGGCAGGGCTTCGATTTCCTTGGCCTGCTCACTCATCTTCCCACGTCTCACTTGGTAACACTTAAGCTTAATGTGTCTTTAGTTAGCCGATTAGTTCTACCAGCATGGACGCCCTTTGCCGTATCACATGCGCCGTCGACGGTTGCGACAACTAACTAAGCCGTAAGCGCGTGCCGGATTGACTTGGAAAACCGGAGACACCACTTGCGTGCTGCTTCCGCCGACGACTGCGTCTGTAGTGAAGTCAGATCGTATGGATCGCTCCGATCGCCTATTAATTTGCACTTTCGGCTCGTATGTGTACGTTTTCGGATCCGAAAACAGTCCATTATGTCAAGCGATTCTCCCACTTTTTGCGGTTTGTTTGTCATCAGTATTTATCTTTGTTTATATTATTACGAAACGGAGCGTTTATCTTGCTGTGGGAAGATTTTCTTTTCAAGAACTCTTATCTGGCAGTGACTGAGTGACCTTAAATGGTATATTACAATATGTTGCCTCGAACTAAGTGATATTTTTAGCCGTATTATTGGTTATTGTGCACGTTAATCTGTATTTTATTACTAAGCCACTGCACAGACAGCTTTAATACATTTTCAAATTTGGCGCCACTGGCATAAAAGCTTTTACCTTCACTGTGAATGGCAAGCCGCTGGCAAGAAGAAGAGTTAGTAAACAGTTTGGAGATTCGCGCATATAAAGTTAAAAATAGGGAAAATCAATTATTAGCTAACGAATCTCGCGATCCTTTTCAAGAATCCCTTTCCCAAAATGTTACATCTAAGCAAAAAACTGGTGATCCGGGCGTCCAAGATCCGTCTGAGTGCTGGCGCTGTGAGTGGAAGTGGGCAAAGTTCAAGTCTCGATCAAAACAGCAACAATTACAGCCCAAAACTAGTTGGCCCTAATCTTAATCAATGCCACAAACGCTTGTCCAGCACTAGTCAAAGTTCGACGGCCGGCACGATGAAGCGTTTGGCAGGGAAAGTAGCCGTGGTCACCGCCTCCACAGATGGGTAAGTCGATCAATTGAAGCTGGAGAGGATTTCCCCATATAATTCTTGTTAATTGCCTGCAGCATTGGTTTCGCTATTGCCAAACGGCTGGCCGAAGATGGCGCCGCAGTGGTAATCAGCAGTCGCAAGCAAAAAAATGTGGACTCTGCTCTGGCGGAGCTGCGAAAACTGAACTTGAATGTCCATGGATTGAAGTGTCATGTCAGCGAACCCGAGGATCGCAAACAGCTCTTCGCGGAGACGATCAGCAAGTTTGGCAAGCTGAACATTCTGATCAGCAATGCCGCCACCAATCCAGCGGTGGGCGGAGTCCTCGAGTGCGACGAAAAGGTGTGGGACAAGATCTTCGATGTGAACGTTAAGAGTTCCTACCTCCTGGCCAAGGAAGCACTCCCTCTCCTGCGCCAGCAAAAGAACTCCAGCATCGTTTTCGTCTCCTCCATTGCTGGGTATGATGCCTTTGAGGTTAGTCGCCTTATCAGTTACCTTGTGGTTCAGTTGTTCCATGCTTATCTCTGCTATCTTAATCCCATAGCTACTGGGGGCCTACTCCGTCAGCAAGACCGCTCTGATTGGCTTGACCAAGGCGGCCGCCAAGGACCTGGCGCCCGAGGGCATTCGCGTCAACTGCCTGGCCCCGGGAGTCATCAGGACCAAGTTCTCCAAGGCACTCTATGAGAATGAGTCGGCAAATGAAGCGGCTTTGAGCAAAATACCCATGGGTCGTCTGGGCACCAGCGAGGAGATGGCGGGCGTGGTCTCCTTTTTGGTCTCCGAGGATGCGGGCTACATTACCGGAGAGTCCATTGTGGCCGGCGGTGGAATGACAGCTCGTTTGTAAGCGGTGTACATAAATATATTTCCTTACGGGCTATGGATAACAGCGGTTTTCACAGTAGTTACAATATAAGATAGAAAACAGTACAGAACTAAGAGGAGCGCAGCTTGGCCAGCTGATCGGCAATGTCCTTCTCGGTGCGCTTACCACTCGTCTCAAAGTCTGAGGATCCCGTGGCCGGGATGCTGGACATCTTGCCAGAGATCTCGATGCCAATCTCGTCGAGCACCTTGCTGACCACGGCATTGGACTCCTCCTCGTCGCCGGACTCGTTCAGCATGTCGTCCAGTGTGTCGTTTATCATCTCGTCGGTCATCTCCATCTTCATGTTGGCCGCCTGGAACTGGCGAACTGTTTCCCCGATGGCCTCTGGTCGCATCACCTTGTTCATTTCGCCCATCGTCTTGGCCGTGGTGCCCATGGCTTCGCTCAGAGCGATATTGGCGCCCATGTTCTTGTTCTGGTAGCCAATGGACTGGATCTTTCCCGCTGCTGCGTAGGTGCGTGACTTCTGCTTCCTGATCTCCACCAGCTGCTTGGCCAGGATGCGGCAGGCATCGTTGTTTCCAGCGGCAGCATTTCGTCGGATCTCCAGCTCCAGCTTGCGTTCCTCCTCCTCCATTTTCCTCCGCTCCCGTTCGATGTCCCTGGTGGCCTTGCGGAGCGATCGGTCGTTCTCACGCTGCTGCTCCTTCACGGTGGGCTTCTTTCCGAAAATATTGTTGAACATTTTGGGATTTTGTGCGAGCTTAAACCTAGTTTCCCGACTTCTGGCGCTGCTGTGATGGCTTTTCCTGATGATTCACTCGGTGATTGTATTGGCGCTATGGGAGTAAATACGAAACCGCAAACAGCTGCTTTGCACGCGCTTCGGGGTGAATAACTGCTGAAGTCAGGGGCGTGCGTGTTGCATTTGTAAGGGCTTCTACCATAAATAGGTTTACAATGGTTACAAAATGCTGTCTTGTTTTTAAATTCCATAAATACTGATGTATATTGTGCAAACTTTTCAATAATTCGTAGGTATACCTTCGAACCCCTCTCACCCACGCCGCTGTGTGGAGTTGCCACCTCGATGTAGACAATTTACCGGGTTTGTTTTCGTGCGACTTAAAAATGTCCCTGCAAATCCTGAAACAAGGCGCCGAAGGACGTGTATATCTGGGCGATTTTAAAGGGAAAGCCTGCCTGATCAAGGAGCGGTTCGTGAAGAAGTACCGCCACCCGGAACTGGACACCCAGATCACGCGGCAGCGCATGAAGGCGGAGGCCAAGGCGTCGGAAAGATGTCAAGCCGCTGGAATCCTGGCACCAAGGATCCTCCACTCGGACCTCAACACCCACAAGCTGTATATGGAATACTTCGATGCGGCCAAGACTGCCAAGCAGTTCATCCAGGAGGTGGTGCTCACTCAGGCAGAGGATGCAGCCAAGAAATCTCTGCTGGAGTTTTGCACGCGGATCGGTAACATCATTTGGAAAATGCATAAGAATCACATAATACACGGCGATCTGACCACTTCAAACATCCTCATCAAGCCGGAGGGTGGCAACTACAATATCATCCTCATAGATTTCGGCTTGAGCCACTACAGTCAGGCTACCGAGGACAAGGGTGTGGACCTGTACGTCCTGGAGCGGGCGCTACTCAGCACCCACAGCGAACAGCCGTATCTATTCGAGCACATCCTGGGCACCTATCGCAATGAAAGCGGACCGGGCGTGATCACCAAGTTCGAGGAGGTGAGAGCACGGGGACGCAAACGGACCATGATTGGCTAACAAATAATAATAAACTTTATTGGGAGTTAAACTTTGTAACTTATGCTATCCTCTTCAAAGACTCTTTGGGAGGGTCATCCTGCAGCTCACTTATCTTGATCTTCTTGATGTACTTTCGCTGTTTGGTTTTGTGTTTGAGTTGCTCGTGCTTGAGTGGTTCCATTCCGTCGACAGGGGGAAGCTTGAAGCTCTCATACGGGCGCTCCTTCACCTTGGCAATGGCATCCTCCAGCTTGAGACCGGCCAGTCCCTGCTCCTCGTAGTACAGGCGGTATTTATCACAGAATTTGGAGTGTCCCTTCTTGAAGGCTGCCGTCTTGGTCGATGGATGCTGAATATACACAACAATTAATGATTGCACTAGCGGAAAGTTAGCGACAGACTCACTCTGGCATCAATGGCTCGCGCACAGCCCCTGTGAAAGTTGTGCAGGTGACGCAGGAAGGACTCATTCGGCTTGATGCCCTCCTCCAGACTCAACTGTATGATCTCGTTGACGTAGCTAAAGGATTTGCTGGCGCAGCCCTGTCGCAGCATGGCTCCCAGTATGGGCATGTTCATCTTAATGCCCGCCACCTGCATCTGCTCCAGCAGTTCCCTCGCCTCTTCCTGGGTGCGACAACCCAGGGCGAGCACACCGTAGGTGACAATGTCCGGCCGCAAGCCCGCCGTGCGAATCATGAAGAGCACTTCCTTGGCGCTCTCGTAATCGAAGCGCATGGAGCGCTTCTTGATCAGTATGTTGAAGAAGTCGATGTCCGCCTTGAGGCCAATCTTTCGCACGAACGTGAGTAGCTGCTTCTCCGCAGCATTTGTGGGCGGTATCACCTCCAGCATTGCGGTAAATGTTTCAATGTCCGGTGTGATGTGGTGCAGCTTCATGTGCTCCAGGAAGCCATTGAGACCGCCAAGTAGCAAGAATCGCTCGTGCGGACGCGTCACCTCCTCCAGGGCCACCAAACTGCCTAGATGCGGCTGAGGCAGCAACAGATTGGGTAGTTCCAGCTCGCTCGCTGTGGTGGCCACCTCAATCTGGCCAGGCAACGAAGCTGTGCTGGATTGTACACTGGGTAAATCATCTTTCTGGCCTTCCTCCAACTGAAGAACTGGTTTCTGTCTGGCTGCTGACGGAGCGATTTGATCGAGAACCTCTCGCATGGATTCCAAGTCACCAAAGCCGCAATCCCTGGTACATCTCAGCATCGCATTGAAGCTGTAGTAGTCCGGACTAATACCTCGCTGCAACATGTTGTGCCAGGTGAGCAGAGCATGGCGGAAACCGTGTTCCGAGTGGCTGGCACACGCTTGCAGCAGAAAGTTGAATGTATCGGCATTCAGTTCCAGCTGGCGCTCCATCATTTCGTCGGCCAGCATGTAGGCGGTGTCCACATCGCCGCACCTTCCATACGCCTTGATCATCGCATTGTAGTTCTTCACATTTGGTTCGTAGCCCTTCTCGAGCATGTTCTCGCGCACGATTTGGGCCTTGGTCAGGCCATCGGTCACGGAGGGAGCATTGGCGCAGGCGTTGAATAGCGAGGTGTAGGTTCCTCCGGTCACTTGGATTCCGCGTTGCCGCATCTTGGTGTACAGGGAGAAGGCCTTGCGGGTGTACCCCGCCTTGGCGCAGCCACTGATCAGCAGATTGTATATGTACTTGTCCGGCTTGGCGCGATCTTCCTTCAGCATGCGTTGCTCTAGCACTGCGATGGCCTCATTTAGGCGATTTGCCTTAAGATGATCCTTGATCTGTCGGGCGTATTCAATGGCTTGTAGTTTCTTTGAGCGCCTGGTGGGGTTGCTAATGAACTCCTCTTCCTCGATATCACCCGGATCTTCTTTTGCAACTACCTTGGCATCGCCAAAGGTGTCCGGATCACCAAAGTCCTGCACCTTCTTGCTGGACTTCTCTTTGGGTTTCTTTTCTGGCTTAAGCTGGCGGCGCTCTCTTGGAGCTGCTGGGGCAAGTTCTTCAAGAACTTCTTCGCGAAAAGGATTTTGATTTCGGTTGGCCTCCCGTTTGGTCTGCAAACCGGCTTCTTGATCCGTAATCCTCACGTGCAGCAGGCGATTTTGTGAGCACCACCAGGCTGCAGGCGGAACCTTTAGCCGACTGATGCTACAACTATTTAACGGTCTGCCGGTGGCATTTAATTGCAGGCCACGTATGTGGCAGCTCATTGCACGGCTAAGCAACCGCAGAGCCATGTTTTCTGTTGCAATTTTCTGTGATTTTTATGTAATTAACAAAAGTATTTAAAACGTGCGAGCGGCGGCGGTGTAAATAAAGAAACAGCTGATGCAACGGCGCTGCCACCTGGTGGTAAATGCCATTCGAACAAGAACGTAAGCAGCCCTCTTTGGCATTCACATTCCTCGCAAACATCCATTGGAATCTGACCTGGTTTTTTGATTAAATTGGTGAAAATTAAATAAATTTAAAATGAGCATCACAGTGGATCCGCGCCGCAAGGAGAAGATCAACCGCTACAAGGCGCCCAAGAACCAGGGCCAAAGCGGCGGCGCCAACGAGGACATGATGCCGGATTACATGAACATTCTGGGCATGATTTTCTCCATGTGTGGACTGATGATGAAGGTATAACACCCTGAAGATTACCACCCAGTGACTTGGCAGTTATCAGTATTTACTACCCCCACAGCTCAAGTGGTGCGCCTGGTTTGCGCTGTACTGCTCCTGCATCAGTTTCGCCAGTTCGCGGGCCAGCGACGATGCCAAACAGGTGCTCTCCTCCTTCATGCTGAGCGTCAGTGCGGTGGTGATGTCCTACCTCCAGAATCCCGCGGCCATGACCCCGCCATGGGCCTCCTAGCACTGGACCTAAGATAACTATAGTAAACGTAATGTAATTGTTCATGGAGATGTGGTGGCCAGTTTGATACGCCTCTATTTTCTTCGACGCTCAGTAAACGAGTTGGTACGTAGTTGGCTGTGTTTACTTCTTTGTGCATTCGGGAGAGCGTCTATAATGGGGAAGCCTCGCTGAGTGTATGGTACCAACTCCATGACTTGTCTAGTGTAGATGAAGGTGTATTCTTTATTGCATTCCGAAAGGGCTTTAATGGGGACTAACATGAATACAGGCGGCTGGGCACAATAATCAATAACTTAGGTAGGCGGTGATGTGGAGGTAGTACTGCTTATGAGATGACTCCTCGCACGGCGATTGTGGCTAGGTGGTGAGCAGGTAGTAGGCGAACAGCATGAAAGCCACAATGTAGACGGTGCCGAAGATCAGGACGTATTAAATCTCTCCAAAGCTCTTGTGTCCGGTTTGCTTGGCATGCTCCTGGGCCTGCACCTGGCCGACCAGCCTAACATCGCATTGCATGCAGCGAAGCGTGAATTTGTCCACATTGGTGTATTGGCGGGAGGACTGAGCCTCGTTGGCCAACTGCTCGGCCTGCTGATAGACGCCCACTTCCTCCACGGGGAAGATGGTGGCCGGAGCAGCACTCGACGATGTCTCCATGTACAGTGGATCATAGTGGATGCCATCGAAGAGCAGGAAGACACGCAGTCCGAAGTTCTTGTCCTCGCCAAAGCGATTGATAATGGCGTTCTGTATGTCCACCACATCGATCTCAATGCCATAGTAGTTGGACAGTATGGACACCTCGATGGCGCCGCCCCAGGAGTCCGCCTTCTGTATCCAGGCGCAGTACTCGGCATTCGATTTGCCCAGCACGGCGTCGTTGTAGCTCTGCGGATCGGCGGCCACCTCCTGGGCAATGATGTGTCGCATCATTTCGCTGCCCTCGTTGTCCACCTTGCCCTTGAGCACGAATCGGATGCTGGTGAAGAGGCACGAGTTGTCCGCCGGCACCACCTTCTTCAGCAGGATGCCATTGAAGTCGCCATTCGGCCCGCTTTCCGTGGGCGCCACAGGCAGTTGGAACTCTGGTGCCTGAGCGACTGGACCGCCTGCGGTCTCCTGCAGCAGCTGTGCCTCCTCCTCGGCCTGCAGACGACGCGCCAGCTCCTCGTCATCCTCCATGGTGGGGCCGCCAGGCACAACGGCTGGCGCAGGAGCAGCCTTCTCCTCGACAATCAGCGTCTCTCCGCTGTTGATTCCGACCGCCTTGAGGTCGCGCTGCTCCTGCTGCTGCGAGAGGTCCAGTGGCTTGGGCGGATAGCCCACCAGCACGTGCAGTTGGGGCGCCTGGATGTCGGTGGCCTGGACTATTTTCGTTTTCAGCTCCCCCAGCGTCGTGTGCTCGTTCAGGTCGTTGACAATGAATTGACCTTTTTTGGACTTGAGCTTCACACTGAACGATCCCGTCATGGTATCCGTTTGTTCTCTTCCTGTGGGCGTGTGTATGGAATTGGGCTAATCTTCAAGATGTTGATGCTCGCGATTCGGTAACTAAGAATTTAGTAATTTGACTAATTTGTTTCTTTTTTTATTTGTGTTATTACAGAGTATCGATGCTATCGAGTTTCGATATCGGTTGGTATTTTTTTTACTGTATCATTACGGAGCATCGATGTTGCTGTGTATCGATTGTTTTTTTTGCAATCGGTGTAGATTGATGTTGTCGGACTTACAATTTTTTTAAAAGGGCGGCAGCTCTTTGCAAATGGCGCCAATTATTCAGACTTTTGAAAATGTATAATTATTAACCATGTGCGTGTATACGAACAATACAAAGGAAAATACAAATACGCATTTATTTGCTGTTATTCTTCATTATTTTGTCAATTGCTGCTAGTTTATTATTTATTTATTATTATTATAGATTTAAAGAGAAACCCCTATTTTTTAAGCCATTTAATAATGGATGTATAATATTTACCAATGGACTTCCTTCACAATCGACATTTAAACTGCAATACAGCATAATTTGAAAATTGGCAGGTAGCCATTTTCAAACCGCCTGCTTAAATTTAACACTATTTTCAGACAACTATTTTCGGATAATTCAGCTACACTAGCCAATTATGGAGGTGTGAAGAAGAAGCTAATGGCTGATCAGAACGTTAAGGCCAATGTCAAGACGCTAATTAAAATTTAGCAGAGATTCCGCTCAGCTAATGGCCTACTCAAATAGAACCCAAAACCAAGGAAACACCGATTAGCAAAAAGAAGCGAAGCCGGTGAAACCGCAAGTCAACAATTGGCCCAAACATAAGGCGTCGAAAGTCCAACAATGGAACCACAATAAGGCAGTCTACGAGTTGGCTACGAAAAAAGGGAACCTGGCTTTTGTTATCACATGCGTGTTGGACTAAAATCACTTTTAATAGTCCAAACAGATTGATTGTCCCCTCCCTCCGACTCGTGAATCACTAAATCACTGAATCTTTGGTTGACGCTCCGCGTTGTTTTAGTTTCTATGAAAGACGAGCGGTCTGCCGGCCGAGCAACTCACTCTCAACTGAACCGGCATATAAATAGACGGGTCGGCGGGGTCTGGTGATCAGTGCAAGCAGGTCTGTCAACGCGCAGTGCGAGTCCATCGATCGATCATATACTTCCAGCCCAACCGAAGCCAACATGAAGTTCTTGCTCCTGGTGCGTCACCTTAAACAGACATGGAATACCACATGAAGCTAACTTTTCAACCTTTTCAGAGCGTCTTCCTTTGCCTTGCCGTGTGCTTCATGGCCACCAGTGCTGCTCCTCGCGAGGAGGCCATTCCCGAGGGCTTCGAAGGTCCTGGCAGTGAGTCCGTCAACCCATCCGACGACCAATCCTTCCTGCTCAAGCTGAAGCTGCTCAAGAAGCTGCTGTTCCTGGGCTGAACCATACCCTCCCATTAATGGATTTATAGTTTTACTATGTGTTTAGGTTTTTAAGATGAAAAGTCGCGTGAAATTAAAGAAAGTATTTGGTAACACAACGTAAACGTAGATTCATTTTTATTGCCAAAGAAAGCAAGCATGGAAATAGTTGAGTACAAAAAATCAAGTTCGCTTCTTGAGTCTTTTGTTGAATAAACCCAACCTTCACTTTCAATTAATTTTATTTTTTTACGATAACACAAAAGGCAACTTTATTTTGCTTATGCTTCTAATAAACCTGAATATGGCGATTTATGGTAAGGCTGAATACCATGAGCTCCCGTCACTGGAACTTTCCTTGAAACTCCATATAGGTGATCAATATTATCAGAAATGCTTGATACGTAATGTCTGATTTATCGTGACATGCTGTCTGCGATGAGTTTTCTTAATATTTTTACATTGGCAATATTTAACCAAACCAAATATCAAGTTTTTTTTAGTTGGGCCCAATCAATATAAAAGTACCAACATATTAAGTTAACTAATTAAATAAATCAATGAAAATATCAGTGATTTATAGGCAAGATCGTTTATGTAGGACAGCGATTGGCCAATATTTATACGCATGTAAGGAAGGTTCCCTTCGCTTTTCACACTCTCTCCCCAGAAGCGGACCGAAACGGGTTTCCCATTCAGATCTAGGCAAACAAAAACTCGACCTGCCGCCAGTCATTAGCTCCTTTTTGGACGCACATGGAGATCTCATCCCCGGAGCACCGATGATATAAGAAACACCGCCGTATGTGAAAATTACATTTATTTTAGTTACGATTACGTATACTTTACTCGCATGTATGTGCTTTTGTGTGTGTTTGTGCTTATGGTATTGCCTAAACAAAACGGGCTGAAAATCGAATGCAGTGGGAAGGCAAGGTTCCCAATTGGCTGGACTAGAATCTGAACGGTGCTGGGCACACTGCCTGCGAATGCCTCCTAGCCCAGGAGCTTCTTCAGCTTGAGCAGCTTCTTCAGCTTGAAGATGGCCTGCGGATCCTGGGGACGCTGGACGTCGTCGAAGGCAGGCTGGTAGATATTGTCGCCGATCAAGGACTCATCCACGGGCACGGCGGAAATGAGGGCGATGGCCATAAGGCACACGAAGATGGTCTACAAAATATAAATTACAACAGATTTATATTATAAATATAATGCAAATGAAATATTCTTTTAAAATGAACTTGCATATTTTTGTTGGCTTCCCTTAACATTAATATAAAAAAAAATTGACAGGACTCAGAAATTTGGAGTTGAAAATGATTTTACTTGCCCTTAATCCAAATCAGTGTCCAAGTACTCACCAGGGCCAGGTACTTCATGATTGCTGCTGCTAGGTAGATGATTACGCTGATTAATCCAAAAATCGACTGCACTTAGCTCCATCTGCCATCAGGGCTTTTTATAGCCGAACTTTGGGTGACCATCGATGATAATGCCATGTGTAAACTGCAGTTTGCAAATGAAGAAGAGGACAAATGAACGATACATAAACAAAAGACTGGCGCATAAATAAGACGATAAGCGAAAAAGAAGTATAAACAAAAAACCTGGCCAAAAGCAGACCTACGGGGCGTGGCATTTTGAGGCAGGTGTTTGGTTTTTTGGGCAGATTTTTTCAGCAGCAAGACCGAAAACCAAAACCAGGCCGCCCTGTTTACTTGGCTTTTGGTGGCATCTTTTGTTTTGTTTGCTCCGCCAAGCCACCGAAGAAGTTGATCGTTGATTAAATAATAATCAGGCTGGGTAAATGAAAGCAACGACAAATGAAGGTCGCCGCAAATGCGGTCAGCAGAGTAATGTTTACCCAAAACCCGGAAGAGGCAGCCATTGTAATACGAGGAAGTCCAATTGCTAATTCCTACATCCAGAGCCCTTTGGTAAATTAATCTGAAGTTGAAGATTGAGTGATCACTCAGTGGCCAAGCCAATTAAGCAAACTATCACTTGAGCAGAGGACCTATAAATATTTGACACTTTGAACAGCTGTCAAGCCTAACAAAAGTAAAACCAAGCGATGGAACCGTTTTGGGTTGGGCTATGGTATAAAACGCAACCTATAAATGGTAACGGAGGCCAAGTGTTTTTCGCCCAGTCATCGTGCAAGTATCGATCTTGCAGCTGAAAACCGGAAACATTCGCCCTGCTCTAAATATGTAAATTACGAACTTTCGAGAATGCCGCCAAAAACATTCCACAGTTTGCACTCTTAAGCAAATACGTGTCGAATGGAGATCAAAACGAACTTCACCATGACAACAAATTAAAAGATTGCACTGAATGGATATCTTTGAGTCAGTCTTTGTCGTCTTTTTTGCATGTTTGATATATTTCCCATGCCCCTGGTTGTTTTAATTAACTTTTATGGGCGTGGCTGTAACATGTGTGAGATGTCTCAGTGAATTTATAGTGGGATAAATTTTATTACGCACCCGAACTTGTTGATGGATGGTACAATTTCGCAGAAATTGTGTAAAAATAGTGTGAAATTGTGTTGTGTTGCGAAGTCTCTATGTAAAAGCATATTTAAAAAATCTACTTAGCTTGGAACTTTATTTATTTACCTACACGAAAATAGCATTATTCGTAGTCAGCTGATGCGTCCGAGTTATCCTCTTTCGGCTGAGTAACCTCTGTACTAGCTTCTTCATTTTTCTCCACTGGCTTCTCAGTGGTTTCACTTTCCTCGCTATTTTTGAGCAGCGATGGTTCCGTGTAACCAGGTGGAGTTTTAATGGAAAGCTTGATTCTGCAGGAAACCAGCTTCATTACTTCCTCGTAGACTTGCATCAGCTCCAATAGCACCATATATCTGCCATCAGGGACAAGGAAGGGAGCCAGCTTAGAATCAATAGCGCTGTCTTTCACAAAGTAGAAGCCAGGAACCAAAGGACATGCGACAACAAAAGTCGAGGGCAAGAGGCTCTCGCCCGGAATGCCCTCCACTGTGATATTACGAAGGGAATCGAGGAGCTTGCAGAGATCCCTGTTCGTCCAGCGAATCAGATCGAAGTGGTGCGATCCACCCACTTCATTTGAGAGCTTCCTTACGAAAATGTGCAGCAGGAGTTTGCCGGGAAAGGGAACTTGAACTGTGAGATTCACATTGATTTTCTCAAAGTCGACTACGTCATAGTCCACGAACATGTCATTGGGCACAAAGGATTTGACATAAAACTGCTCGAGGCGCACTTTGATCTGATTGAAAAGCAGTAATTTATATTACAATGTTAGCTTATTCAAGCAACTCACACTGTGGACTCGAGGAGACCCTAAAAACAAAATAAAAACTATGCTATGCGGAGGCCACATTGTTTAGTGCTTGTATGATTGACCCATTGAAAACAACTGGCCAAAAATTGCCGACACTTGGCAACTGGGAAATTAGCTTGTTCAGTCAGGCCACGTTAACTGGACTAATGACTTTGTTTCGGCCCGATTCTTATCGATCAAAGCCCAGCAGCAGTGGCATACACTATGAGAAAACGGGGCGAATGCGTAATGTGGGTGTTAACATGGCGTATGGGCAATGCACAGGCTAATAGCGATAAATATTTTTAAAATCAACTTTGTGATGAGTGTTTGCCAAATAGTCGCTGATATACGAGTCAAACATGACGAACTCAACGACGCATTTATCAAGACGTTAACTACAAAACCCGATGCCAGTTGCAAATTCGGTGGCCAACTGATGAACTTGAACCAAAAAGCATGAACGGGCAACTACTGGTAAAAACAGCAAAAGTTTACCATGTAAACGAGCATAAATTGTGCCGCCGGAAAGCAAAGCGAACAAAAGTCTCGGATAAATCATCCCAAACAAAATATATGTATGCCAGTGGACCATAAATTTCGAGCGTTTTTATTGCAATTTGCTTGTTTGTACCAAAAACAAGTGCAAACAGCGCCAGCAACCAGCACAAATGCTGCCTTAAGCCGCAAACTACAGTGAAAGTGACGTAATGCGCTGCTACCAACAATAGCTGGCTAAAAAATATGCATGAAAACCATTAAACAACGACAACAAAGTACAGTGAAAAGCAACTGAGCAAACGGTCAGAAAAAAATGTCAATGTCTTTTACAACGCAGCCGACGAAGAAGCAGCAGCAGCAGCAGCAGCAACAGCGGCAGTTGACCCAAGGGTCAGGGGGTGGCAGTGGGGCGGTTGGGCGGGTGTGCACAACGGATGAGGGCGAACAGAGATAGCAGACATGGCGCAAAAAGCGTGCTCTGCTTGCATATGTGTGACCTTTTGCGTCGGACTTGGCACGTGTGGCGACTATCGAAAAGGGCAGGTGCCTATGGAACGGAGGGAAACCTAAGTGGTCAGCGGTGGCGTTAGCTCCTGGAAACAGGCGCATAAATATTCAAGAAATATGTGAATTCAAATTAAACTGCATTGAACTGCATCACGAGCGCATCTCTAGTGCAAAGTCGCTGCATCGGATGTCGGCTTACATTTTATTTACCTCTCTGCTTTACTTTATCGTATCGTATACTTTATGCGTCGCGTGTTTTTTGTATCGCCTGAGACTTACAATTCAATGTCATGCCGGCTGCATTGTGGTTATTGCCAAAACTGAGGCAAAATGAAGAAGAAGCTGCTGCTGCACCAGAAGATCAGCAAGATCTTTTGCTGCAGAACCGGTTGGTTCGGTCACTCCTCATCGAGGCGCACAGCCCCTCCCCTGTCCAGCAAACCATGCAGACAATGCAGCACCAACTTTAAATTAAGTGTGTAACGCGACCTTGAGACTCCGACTCCAACTCCAACTCCGACCCCGACTCCGACTCCAACTCCAGCCCAAAACCACAAATGCAATTGCTGGTCATCTTGCGCGCTATTTATGTATGCATGTGGCACCCATCGGGTTTTATGAACCTGCCCGCACCGCGCGATAATAATTGTTATTGCCCCCATATATCATGAATTTGGTGGACAGGAGCGGGGCGCGATATCATTAACAGTCTAGGCCAGATCCATCTAGATACCTCTGTAAACGGTGGGCGGGACAAGTCTGGGGTTTCCGCTTTATATCATCGCTTAATAATCACTGGAAAATATTTTGCCTTGCCGCGACGATCCTACGTGGCGTTGATGGCATGGATATTTCTGGGTTACTTATTTTCCAGTAAATGCATATTCTGAAGAATTCATAATAGGTAATGTTCTGCAAATGTAGAAAAGTAGGGCGTACTCTACTGATTACAAGTTAAATTTAATATTGACCATTTAACATGACCATCGGCTATTTATTACCTAAACTAAATTCGGTTCTCACAAAGAATTATTCATTACCATCCATAATACTGAAACTAATGCCAGCACAAGCCTTCTGACTTTAAACAGTAGTGCGGATAATCAACATATAAATAAGTCGGAGGCTAAGTTCATTGCTTATAGACGAACGTGTAAGTGATTTTCATACTCGGCGAGGGTTGCTCGAAAAATATGTTTGGCTCACCGTTCAAAAAATGGTAATGCCACTTTTAACGCCTTACTAGTTTTTATGAATATTTTAAATATAAAATTTATTTCGTAAGGTTTATACCCCACCCATGGAGTAAAGAATCTGGGTTTATGTGTTTATTTCCCCATCAAACACACGGGTGTTGGAATGTTTCTTGTTTTCGAATTGTTAAGAAGCGTTTGGTTGATTGATTCCAAAGATCAATGCTAAGAGTTGTAATTAAAGGCAGCGAGTCGTTGTTCTTTTGTTTTGTTGATTTGGCACTTGGGATCTTTTGCTTTTGCGCTGGCCACGCCCACTTGGGCGACATGGGGAGGCGAAGCAAATATATAGTGGCAAAGTGTATCTATTGGTAAAATGCAAATTCCCGTTAATTGAATGCCAAACAAAAGAGCAGTGGCAGCCGCAACATCGAGAAGAGGGTTTAATTTTCTGGTTTCATTAGGGGGCAAGGGGTGTTTGAAAAATCAATTAGCAGTATAAAATGGTTTTTCCGTTTTAAAGCCGTACCTGGTTCAGTTTTTGTAATACTCCTTCTCGCTGTTTCTGCCGCCCACTTGGCAAAGAGAGAGCAAATCCCTGTAGCACCACCCATCGCCAGCCACCCACAACTGAAAAGCGAGAGAGGAAAAGCAGTGGAAAAACCGCAGCTGCTGCTTTAAATTTATGCCAACGCGGCATTAGAAGCATGGCTTGTGGTTAAATGGGCAGGGGAGGAGGGGTGGTGGAGCCCCAAAAGGGGGTTATTTCAGCCATATTGGCTACGTATTGGTACCATGTACATGTGGGTGTAGCAAACTGCAAGAAATCAAGGCTCTAGTTGCGGCGGTCGCAACGAAAAATGGCGGAGCGCTTTATGAATATTTATAACACAATGGAGCATGAAAAAGTTCAGTTGTCGGTGGGGGAAGGGATAACAGGTATCCATACATGTGGACAAGGAGCCATCCAGGTTCATGCGTCTGTTATCGCTTGCAATGACGATCGACAGCGACAGGGTTAATGGCAGGATCGAGTCCTATAAACCGCAAAGGAAAAAAGTATGGTTGCACCTTGAGTCAATACAAATAATTGTTATCTTCTGAAATATATAATATATTTAACAAGTCAAAGAAGACACCTTTGGCTGAACCAAAAGAACATATTTCTGTTATAAAGTGAATTCGGTTTTTATCCCTATGCGCTTCTGTTTTTCCAGCTGAAATCCTCTCAAGAATGCCAACCCACTTACAATGCAAATGGAAACGCCAAAATGCGGGAGAGGTTGCCCCACTTTCAATTCGACTTCCTGTGCATTCGTCCGCGCATTTAGATTGGCAATAAATTAATACTCGAGCATGGAAAGTTGCGCCATTAGAAGGGCGAAGCGAGTGACACACATTTGAAAAATATTTAATTTGCCAAAATGCCAGTCGAACTGAGTCCTTTGGCATTTCCATATCAACTGCATATTGCGCATACGCAGTGTGGGCGGTGGCCTTAATTCAATGCTCATTGAGAAGAAATTTACAGAAAAAGTTTAAATTAAAAGTTGGGCAAAAATAACGCAAAAAAGGTTGGTAAACCGAAACCAATTTCAATATTGATTGGGTGCGTGAATAGAGGGGGAAGGAAAGAGGAGGGGAGTCCCTGACTGGGAGCACGTGCTGGCGCCATCTAGCGGTCGCTGCATGCAAATTGCCAAATCAGTGCGTGACTTGTAAAATTTCAACAAAGGCTGCGAACAAAAACTCAAATGTAAACTGTTAGTTATGACAAAGCAAACTTAACTAGCAGTTATTCCTTTTTTTTTCTAAGTTTTTTGGAAAATTTTCAACTGGCACGCACGTGTAACGCCCCACAATGGAAAAAGGTGGTTCAATCTGTAAGCGCCTGTCAATTACCGAGTTTACAGAATGCCCCGGCTAATGGTCAACTCATTCATGACTCGTTTAATGGCCCTCGACTGAACTCTTTTCGTCGCTTTACTTCTTTTGCCCTGTTTTGCCGCCAATTTGAACAACAACTGTCAAAGTCAAAGACTAACAAGAGACCATATAGTGTGTCCATTCATGACTGCCCCTCCCATCCTCTCCATGTATTTTACATCGCTTGACTGCCCCTGGAAAACGTTTGCCATTTGTGTATCTCCATTTGGAGATGTCTTTTAAATGATATTTTTTGCATTGGCAGTCGGTAAACATCTCTGCAGCAAGATAAACTTGTACATCTTGTGTGCGTATCTTCAATTTATATTTCGAGTGCAGAAAGTGGAGCAAACTAACATTTCCAGCGAATTCCCTTCGGTTCGGGAGTCAAAAGTTTTTGGTCAGCGCATGCAGTTTATTGGTTTGTTTGCCTGAATGGTCAGAAAAATCGAGGAGTTGGCGGGGTTACTTTCCAGAAACTTAATCGATTCGGACACTTTACAACATGTTTATCATAAGTATTTGCCAAAGGAAATATTGCTAGAAAAGCAAACAGCAGGAAAAGAAGGCAATAACTTTAAGTGGAAGCTTACATAGCAGTGTGATTGTGAGGTAAAAGGTTCCTCGATTATTGACTTTCGAAAGAACAAAATTGTATTAATTTGACACCAATATAACTGATGGGTTTTTAGCTAAAGTGCATTCTAAATAGAAATTCAGAAGAAAATGCTGCATTTTTCTTCTTGATAGAGTTGTTTTTAAGTTCCAAGTTGTGAATAGCTCTAAGCAAACCGTCTTTTCCCTGCTCCAGTTCCTCCA